CCCCCGCCGGCGGGGGGCAAGGAAAAAATCCTCCCCCCACCCCCCGCTGCCGGTGCCGTTGTGCCGCGGGGCTGCCGTGCATTGGCACGAACCCCTGGAAGCGCCGGGGCCGGTGAATCTGCCGGGTTTGGAGCTTCTGCAAATGGCGCCTCAGCAGCAGCAAGCACCCCGGGGGCCTCGGCCAGGCCGGGGGGCTCGGCCGGGCGGCTCGGCCGGGCCCTGTCCCCTGCCCCCCCGGGCCACCTGTCTCGGTGGCGGTGGCCCGGCCTTGCTGCCCAGCGCTTTCTGGCACCGAGCGGTGTGGGGTCTGGTGGGAAAAAATAGCCCGAGCTGGTGTAACCATGGGCGGCTCGTGGCCGTGCCACGCACGGAGGTGGGATGGCGGAGGCGGGATGGCGGAGGCATCCGCCACCACTGCCGGCTCTGACGTGCGGTTTCACTTGGCAACCTCCGTCACGCTCTCCCGGGAGCGCTCCCGGCGCGGGGCTGAGGCCAGCACTGCGGGGCCGCCGGCTCGGCCAGGCCCTGGGCACCCTCTCCCGTCCACGGAGCCGAATCAGCCGGCAGGCCCACAGCACCTTGCCTGGGCTCCGGCGCCCCCGATGCCGGCGTAGCCTCGTCTCCTGTGGCTCCTGTCTGGCAGGTCTGGCTGTGCCCCCCGCCCCGAGCCGCAGGGATGGGCTGTTGGGGCGTCACCGGTGGAGGGTCCTTGCAGAGGAGCGCCTGGTGCCGCTGTGGCCTCTTCTGGTGCCGGGCCCTTGTCCACCCCAGCTGCGGCCATGGTTCCATTCTCCGTGCACCCTCCTCCCCGCTCGCCCCCCTCTCCGGGCATTGCCACGGCTCCCTTTCTGGGTGCCAGCCGCTCGGGGACGGAGGCCTCAGCGGCACCGACCGGCACGGCTCGGCGCAGCACCCCCAGCACAGACCCCGTTTCCCTGGGGCGTCGCGTGGACAAGGTCTTGGCCGGGCGCCTGTTCCGTGGGGCTTGCGCTGCTTCCCGGTGCCCCTTGGCGCTGCCGCGGGGCTGGGTGCGGTGCGGGTGCCGCGGGCGCTGCCGGCTGCGGTGGGAACCCGGCGACAGGTGTGAGCCGGGACAGTTGGGGCGTGCCCAAAGGCCGGTGCTGGGAGCGGCGCTGTGGGTGCCGGGTGCTAGTAAGCGGTGCCATGGGTGCCGGGGGTCCCTGACGCCGTCCCTCTGCCGCAGGAGCCGACGTCGGTGGGGTGCCGGGAGCTGGCGGGGATGGCAGAGGAGAGCTCAAGCAGCAGCAGCGGCTCCCCCGGCCCCGGGGACACGCTGCCCTGGAACCTGGCCAAGCACCAGCGCTCCAAGCGCACCAAGGCGGCCGCCGGCAACGGGACGGTGCTGGACCCCGCCGAGAGGGCCGTCATCAGGATCGCAGGTAGGGCTGGCGGCGGGCACCGCGCCGGGGGTCTGTCCCGGGGGGTGGGAGCTCGTGGGACGCCGGGGAGGGGGTCCCTGTGTGCCGGGAGCTGTCGTGGTGGGCTCTGCTCTGGAGGGGCTGGCGTGGCCGGCGCTGGGATCAGGGCCTGGCTGTGCCGGAGGTGTCCGGAGGGCTGCGGGGCAGCCGTGGGGCGATGCCATGGGGCAATGCCATGGGGTGATGCCGTGGGGAGAGCCTGGGCGTGTGCTTGGGGGCACAGGCATGATGGGGAGCCCTGCGCTGGGCCGGGGAGCCCAGGGGTGACACCGCGGCTGGGGTCTGCACCAGGGTCGGGGTGATGGTGCCGCCACAGCGGGGGCCATGTTGTGCCATGCCGCAGGGTGCCTGCGGTGTCCCCACGCAGGGCCAGTGTCGGGGCAGGACACAGCCTGGGGGATCGGGGGGGTGTGGGTCTGGTTGCGCCGTGCCGGGGTGCGGGTCTGACTGCGGGGACGTGTGGGGCTGGGGGCTCTTGTGGCTCCCGCCCGGGGCCCCGGTCGGTGCCGTGGGGGTGGCCCAGGGGCCCCAGGGGTGTCCGCTGGCACCGGGGCCAAGCGCTGGGGGTCCTTGTGTCTTGCGGGACACCGGGGCTGGGTCCCTTGGGGCAGCAGGGCTCCGTGCTGGGGACAGGTCCCTGTGCTCTGCAGTGGAGGTGGGTGCCATCAGAGGGTCCCTGGGGATGTGTCCCAGGGGTGGCCCCATGTGGCTGTGTCCCTACAGCTCCCGGGGCACATCCCCAGGGTGTCTGCGTGGCCATGTCCCCGCAGCGCCCCAGGACATGTCCCTGGGGTGTCCCTGCACGGCCGTGTCCCCGGGGTGTCCCTGCAGCGCCCAGGACACGTCCCTGGGGTGTCCCCGTGGCTGTGTCCCTGCGTGGCCATGTCCCTGCGTGGCCATGTCCCTGCGCGGCGGGGTCGCCG